TGGAAGAAGATTCAATATAATCTATTCCTTCTTATTAGCAGCACTGTCTTTCTCTTTTAAGTCTCTGAGTTAGGGGAGCTGCAATGATGGGTTAAACAGTTAGGCCACCGCATGGGACACCTACATCCAACACTGCCATGCTTGAGGTTAAGACCCAAAATTCTGATCCAGCTTCCTGCTGACTGGCCTCCTTAGAGACATTGAGTGATGGCTCCTGTACTCCCTGCTGTCCCAGGAGAGATCCAAATGGGGGCTTAACTCCTGGCTGCAGCCTGCCCAGTCCTTGCTGTTTATGGACTTCCAGAGTGAACAAGCAGCTGGAAGACAACTTTGCCTCTTCTTTTTGCTCCTGTCTTTCAAATAAGTAATAAAACTTTTACAAAGTCTCTACATTGGAAGATCAGGATTGAGAGATTAGAGAAAGGAAGATGCCTGATTTAATAGGTGCAAATTTAATAAATGAAGAAGATAACTATGAACAGTTGGGCTACAATATTACAACAAATAGCAAGTGTAGTGATGAATAACTTTAAAAAATAGTAACTTAAGAAAAAACTCCCACAAAAAGGAAAAAAAATGAGCTGGATAGCCAAAATAAAGCACTAATTTGAGCTTCATGCTACACCTTTTAGGAAAAGTTTTTGTGTCTTTACTTTTCTATTTGTCATGAATTTAGATCACAAACGCACATTTTCAATATTGAGATACAAATAGATCTATACTTTATTTTATTTTAAAATTTATTTTAAATTTCTGTAGTTTCCCCTGAAAAGGAAAAAGTCCTTCTTCATAGTAATAATGATAAGTCTTTTTGAGATCTGAACGCTAGCTAATAACTGAGGAATTATTTTAATTAAATTGAAGAATACAAGTTCCAGTCCACTTTAAAGATAAAGTAATGTGACAGCTGTGCATCATACCCCTCCCCAAATTAGCAATTACTGCCACATTATCTTCCTTTCTGTACCATAATTTATCCAACGTTAAACCATCTAAAATCAAGCTACTACACGCATCCATTCACCTCTGGTCCGATCAAAACTGAATTACCTGTCAACAGAGAAGTACGCTTACAAGTGTGAAACCATTTGACCATGTTATAGTTTAATTTGCAGAGACAAAATGACAAGCAATTTATTTACATAAAACTGTACAAAAGCAAATTAAATTATGTAAAGTATTTCATAAATAGTTGGACGAGTGTTTAATACATTTCGCCATGTTTAGCATAGTTGCGTGCATAGTGACTCATAATAAACGATGATAAATTGTTCTCTGCTTCACTATCGACATCCAAGTAGCAGAACAATAGTCTATGATTAACATTACAAACAGATCGTACCACAGTGAATGCAAGTGCTTTAGAATGTGGCAAATGTCCCCTGAAAGAAAACCCTGGTAGCTGAAAAAAAAAAATGATGCCTTCCTCCACATGCCGTCTATAACTCTGCCTGTGTCAACCTCACAATAGATGTTCTATATTCATGATCTTTTTTTTTTAATTCAAGATGCTTTGTTTACTTATCACTTGTGTGGTATGCCTAACATGATTTAAATCTCAGATTCCTCGTGAATCTGATGGTCCGTCAGAGATGATAGCTGTTGGATTCTTGGCAGTTTGTTGTGTCTGTGTCTTTGATTTTCTCTCCCTTTAACGCAGCTTCCCAGGGTAGCCTTTCAGGCAGACATCCTTAGTCCTATCTCAGTTCTTGCTCCCATGAAGATAATGCCTCCCTTGTTTTCTGGAACTCAGGCAGCAGGCCAGTCAGAAACCATACAGAAATGAGATTTGGAACTTCAGAATGAGCAGCAGATTTTTAGACTGAAGCTATAGAGGTTTTAATACACACAAATTTATATCGTTATCCCTTAATTTACAAATGTGTCTGAATGTAGAATGCATGCAGTTCACTTGCGATCTTGTGTACAGAAAATAAGTACGGTATATAGAACGTAAAGATAATGACACAGCAACTGAAAGAAATGAAACAAAAACTAATAAAGACTAGACAAAATTCAAATCAATATTTTACCTTGAAAAATGGACTGATTTTTACCCTTGATAGTATCTCTCAGTCTGATTCCTAAAACAAATGCTTTCAACTTTTAGTCAGCTTTAAGCAGCCCATAGTAATGTTTTATTTATTTTGTGAATGAGCCATAGTTAAGACTGGTCCATTATCTGAGTTTATCTGAAGGCAAATTTGTAATATATTATTTATTATTTTCAGAAAATAAACATGGATAAATATACAGGATCAAAAAAGTTGGGAATAACCCATCTCCCCTCTTTATCCAAACCCATCAACCTCTTTTTTTTTTTTACCATAACAACAGGTATAAAAGGCACAGTTGCTTGTTTTGCATTCACTCATTTATTTTTTTTTGTCTTTTTTTTTTTTTACCGATTTTTTTTTTCAAAAGCACTCTTTATATGGAGTGGCACCAGATTCAACCTATTCAAAATAAAAGTCATACAAACACAAAATATATTTCTGTGTCATGCCAGCTCATTATATAATAAACATGTTATGATAGCTAATTCTACTAGAATTACTGCGAATACTTACAGTACACTGAATTTTATTCTGTCACACCCACTTTAGTTCTAAAGAGAGGTCCACGAGTTAAATGAGAGTGGCGTTGCTGTCTTGAATATGGTGCAAATGTCATTGGGGAACATGGATCCATTTATCCAAAGGTCCAATATGACCCGTATTAGCTTCATAGACAACGGTAGAGTTTTAAGACAGAATGGAATGAGCTGTCTAGTGCTTTTAAGTGTTTCAGAAAAGAAAGAAAAAAAAAGCATTAAAAATGTGCTGAATATCTGTTATGCAATTATTTCCTTTGTAACGTGCAAGAAAAATATGTATACATTTTATAAGTATCTTTAGAAGTGTTTTGTCTTAATAGGTACTTACAGATTATACAAGGCAGAACTGCTTCGATGTAGTTTCCTAACAAAGTACTAAATTTCATCTTTTCATAGTGTAACTAATAATCAAACATAAACATGTTCAATTATTGACATTTTAGTCCAATGTTCTTGTTTCAGTTACATATCTGTTTTCATTCTACTTATTATACATGAACTAACATCAAAATGAAAATTCGATTTAAGAAAGAGCATAAAGAAATGACCCCAAAACAGTACCCCACCAAAGACAGAAGTGGTTTTCAAAGGTAAGTATTTTGATGATGAACAGTGAACTGTCAACCCAAAGTCCAGGCTGCTTCACCTTATAGTCTAAGAAATTTTGTAACACATGAAACTACCCAACGCTACACGGTTTCTACAGTCTGCTAGAGAGCCACCAAGGCCATGCCATAACCAGTTCACAATCATTCAGGGACGACATCAGTTCTCTTAACCTGTTATCCCCTACTCTGTCCGTGGATTGTCACTTTCATCTGAATGTCCCAGCTCAATTTTCAGTTGTATTAATCATCTTTTGTAGAGCATGTGGCTCTTTTTCTGCATATTCAGTTTCTATTTATTGCACTGAAAACAAACAAATAAACAAACAATGTCTTCCAACTCTGAGATGTATATTCTGTGAGGAAGTTCACTACCCAGAATTAATTTCTTTCATGCTCAGTCTGGATTTATTTACGACATATGTAAAATAATGTTCAAATTACAATAGTGATGGTGTCAACTAAGATGTGGCATTGTTTCAATTCTGTATCAAAATAGTTCCATATTGCACACATTTTAAAATCAATGCACTTGTGTTGTATGGAAGTGTGCACTAAGTAAGTGAAAAATGTAATTGCAATTTGAAGTGTGGATATTAAGATTAGCATTCATTGTCCAGATTTTAAAATGGTAATGGTGAAATCAGCTAATCAGAGTATATAGCGATTCAGCTTTCTGTTCCTACCTGAATACCCATAAATACTGCTTTAAAAAAGTGGAATCTTCCCTGATCATTTTGTCTGAAACTAAACCTGAACATCAACCAAATGCCTATTTCAGTAGCAAAAATATGTCTTATTGAATATTTCTTTTCTTTTCTGAGACCTCAAATAAATGCATCTTAAAAGGAGAAGCATGTTCTCTGAGTATAGAGACAATATAAAACAAACCCAGTATTTGACTTTCTGTGTGTGTATTGTTCAGTAGCCTTTATTTAATAGATTTCCACATCAAGACCAAATCAACTTCATGATTTCCCTGATCTGCCGTGTGATCTTTGGCCTCTTAATGACACAATGGTTCAAGTTAGTTGATAATAATGGTCCTGTTTTGAAAAAAAAAAAGAACGTAATTTTTAAAAGTCATAATTAGTATAACTGATATATGTAATCAAGATTGTGTATATTCTAAGAATATTCTGTGAATGTATATAATTGAAGTTGATGCTCTTGACCTGAAAATAACAATGTATTCCAGTTTGGGATTGCCACCTCCGTCTGAGAACTGTTTAGTTCTCAGTCTTCATTAGACTATTAAAGCTGTCATCTTCTGAAAATGTTTTTGTTTTTTTTTTTTTTAATAAAGTCCCCTCTGACAAGGTCATACTTTTAAAGGGACTCTCATTTTTCAAAGGGTTGCCTTGAATGGTGGGAAATCATATTCTGATGATAATATGTTTGAAATATATTTTCCTGCCCTGCTTTTTAAGCCAGCCGGATGACACTCAAAATCAAAGAGACTACAGTCATGCTTCAGCTTAGGGATCATGAGAGTGTGTTGTGTTCTGCTCATCAGGCTTATTACCATGAAAGAAACTTGCAACTGTCCTTTTTTTTTTTTTTCTTGGAAGGGTGTGGGGAAAAGAGAGCGGGTGTTGGGGTTCGGTGAAGGGGGTAGACATGCAAGTAACGGGATGGTTTCTACATTGTACATTAGCATCAGGCTAACAGTATCATTAAATGCCTGATCTGGAGGCAGAAGTGGCAGGCAAAGCTTCGTCTCTTTGGTAGCCCCCTCTTAGTTACTCTACTTTGTAAGGTTTTTTTCTTGTTTGTTTTTGTTTTTGTTTTCTGTTTTGCCCCATATTCTCCTTCTCGTACATGAAAAGAACTTTGCTCTTGCTCTTTGACAGCCTACAGGTAAACTTCTCTTCTAGTGAGAGTGTTGACAGGAGATGGCTTATATTCCCCTGTTTTTGTCAGGGGAATATCCTCAGGATTGGCTTCCTCATTTTTGCTGAAACTAGCTGCACTGAAGGTCTCATAGGATGAGGTCAACTTTTTGTTCAGGAGGTTTCTGTTGCGGTCGCCCATGACAGCAGCCTCGCCATTGGCCAGCTTCTCCTGGCTTCCTCGTTCATCAACAGGCATGAAAGTGGAGAGTTTGGGCTGGCTCTTCTTCCTCTCCGGGGACGTGCGGACAGGCATCCAGCAGGAGTCTGAGTGGCCGTACTCGTCACACTCACGAGTGCACTTCCCAGTCATGGCTACATCTGGAAGAGGCCTTGAATCTGAAATCCAAGAAGAAGAACTGGGTTAAATTTAGGCATGCTCCAACAGGATTCCTGATGAGATGAAACTAAGGAAAAAAATGTGCAAAAATGTTTTACCATCCCCAATAGCCTATAGGTCATCATGCGATAGAATGGGTTTTGATTCATATGTATTACAGATAAGGTTTTGCAGAAACATCAGACCTTATATAGAAAGGATGGATAGCATGATGAGTTTCCGTTTCTGGAAGGGTTATGCCATTACAGGATAGTCTTAAGTAGAGGCTGCAAGTACGTATATGTATATTTGGATGAGTATAGGCTTTATTCATATCCGCAGGAGTTATTAAACCGAACTAGATAATTTTCTGTATCTATAAATTATTCCAGAAATGGTATGCAGTTTCCAATTGAATTCCTTCTTGCTTATACATTATTCATGGCATGCAAATATGCAAAACCTTATATTTAAACTACATTTTGAATACATTTCAAAGACATCAGGGTGGCTCAGAAGCACAAGCTAAATTGACATCATATTATGTGGCAAAAAGCGAAACTGCAAAGAACATGTAGGTCACAGGTTTGAGCGTGTCAGTGGCATCCCCATCCACCTGCCCCTCTCCAGCTCTCCGCCTCCTCCCCAACTGTGTCAAATGGCCTAAAAGCAGCTGCAGAGCAGTCTCACGAGTGTTGGTATAGACATACGGGTTGCTAATGCATTGGTGTATGAAAATATTACCTGTACTATACTGGATATGTATCACCAAGTTCTTAAACTTTGATAAAAGAGCACATATTTCTAATTAATGTCGCCCAATGGTGTGGGAAAAAGTTCCATTCTAAAAAGCTAAGCAACAGGCAGGGCATTCTTAAGGATCAAATTAAAGATAGTAGCTAAAAATTATTTACATGTATCAATAAATTATTTTTGTGTCAGCCTTTCAAAAATAGTTATTATTTCAATAGTAAATATTTTATAGACTGTGCATTTGCATGGCAAATCATGAATAAGACAGTAAAACCCGCTCTATCTCAACAGATTAATGAGAATAACCTATAGGGTTTCATCTAATTTATAATTTACTTTATTTCCAGACAACAAATATAATGTGATGATACTACAAATTCTATCAAATCACATAACAATTTTATATATTCCATTATCACCTTTTATTGAGAACTAATCATTTCATTAAAATATTTGGAAATAAAGAGCAATTTTAACCTCTGCAAATATAACCACAGACGAAGCAGTAAGATTTCAATATGCATAATCTTGGGTAGATACAGTTTGGGAATGAAGGGATAACAAATTTATCCCTAATATATTTATATCCTCTGCCTTTGCCTGTGCGTATTATCTTACATGGTTTAACACTGGGAAAGGATGTTTCAGGAGTTTGACTCTGCTAAACCTCCTAAATCGATGATATCCAATAATGCATGTCGCTTCCCCCCTCAGTGATGGATAACTGAAATATTGACATTTGTCAGCCCATCGATTCTTGACCCACAGTGGCCACAGATATTTCTGCCATGTGCTGAGAAAACACAAAGAAATGTCAGAGTTCTTCCCAGGAAATCCAGAATTTTGTTACCCTTCCCTGAGGGCACACTGCAAAGGTGATTATTTATTGCGGGTACAGACTCTGTTAATTTAAATGGGCACATCCTCTTAATCTCATCAAAAATTGGGGAAAAACACCTTACTATTAGTTTTGCGGTGCTAAATTCCCTGTGTCTTCCAAGTATGCATTTTAAAGTGATCGAAAAAAATAAATGATTTTTGCATTATGATTTTTGCATTTCAATTGGGTTAACTGAGAAGGCTATAAGTTCTTCAGAAATATTTCCTATCTAAAGGTATTTTGCTCTCTTTGAAGCTGACCTAAATGCTTTGAACAACAGCAACGACAAAGTCTTTAAAAATGCAAACTCTAGGATTAGGTCTTTTTACTCTAAAGCTTTCTTTATTCCTTCATCATTTTGACAAATTCAAACTTCCATCTTCCCATCATAGTACATAGCAAGGGTATATATAGTAATCAAAAATTGATTTACAAAATTGCAAAACCCTTTATAAATCGGATTGTCGTTCCTTGCAGAAATGACCCAGAATTGTCTCCAATCCTTTAAGTTTATTTATGTCTCACACAATGTCTTGGGTTACTCAGACATAACCAGGTGGCTGTTTCTCAGTGGTTCAGTTTTCTTCCCGCTTTGAAATTCACTGCATTTGTTTTCTCTGTGAGAATAACTTAAAAAGTGCCTTAAAAATACGTTAGTGTTCAAACACCTCCCAACTGATGTGTAACATGTACGTACCTGAATTACCTATAGCTTGCTCATCAGAAATTACATTCATTTGGAGTAACGTCATTTCTAATCAACTGTAAATGAGACACTCCTCAGAGTTTTTAGCCAGTCTCCGTAATCTGGAGTGTTTACTGATGAAAGTGCTCTCCCCTTAATGCTTTTAAGGAAAGGCAACTTGTCATCCACATGCGGCTGCCACATCTCCATCCAGGAAGCATGGCTTTTAATAAGGATCTCCTGTCATTTCCCAAGTCAAACACCTGATTGGGGACCACAGTGGAAGCTGACAAGCCTAATTGGCTGAGACAGATGTAGTGTTTGTTATCAAATTTAGAAAATAATCAAGAAAGGCTGTAAGAGATTCATCATGAGCAATCAAACCTTCCCATCTTGATCACTAAAATGAATCTTCAAAAGAAACGCTGATGGTTAACAAATGCAATTTGTATTATGATGTGATTTATTAAGGTAAGCCATGAGCAGAATAGTTTGTGTGTGTGTGTTTTCATATGCTTTATCACTTTAATTGAGTAAGCATACATTACGAATTTTTTGAAACACAAAATGGTCTTTTAGAGGCTGTTGGAAAATCATCAAATACAGTTCTTGTTGTGATATATGCACTTTTAAAATGTTTGTGTTTTTATGATTCTAAATTTCACGCATTTATTATTTTATTTATTTAAATGGTAGAGAGACAGAGAAATAGAGACGAGATGCCAAATATATCAGTTAACTCTGCAAAAGCCCAGAAGGATCATGACTTAGTTAGTAAAAGCTGAGAACTGAAGCCAGTGCTTGGTACCCAAATGGCAGGTGCCCAACTATACCAGCCACAACCTGATGCCTCTCAAAGTGTGTATTATCAAGTAGTTGGAACTAGCGGGGGGCTGGGATTTCAATTTTGCACTCAAGTATGTGATGGGAAGGACCCAAGAAGCATCTTGCCTGTTGCAGCAAATGGCAATTCCCTCTCTTTATGTAAGATTGCAGAAGCAGAGCTCTTCTACATTAGTGCTCTCCTGGCCTGTCACTGAAGGATTTTTCATAAGAGTTAGGAACATTATTTTGTGCTTTAGTTTAGTATAGCTTTATTTTGACTAAACTGAAAGTAGAAAACAGCTAATCACAAATGTTGTCAGTTACTATTGTGAAAACAACACAGTCTTTAAATGTTTTATATGGAACTTATTCTCTATACTCGTGTCTTACAATAAGGCCTGTTCTTCAGAGGCTTTTCGCTTCACATTTATGTTGCATCAAACTCCGAGAAGTCTGACAGTAGATATGGTATTCATCATAAGTGTTATTCCTGAACGCTACTTGTAAAATTCTTTTTCTAACTTGAGATGAAGAGAGGCAGAGCAGCACATACAGAGTCCTCGTGTCAGCTGATTCATTCTTAAAGGTTCACAATTGCCCTCACCAGGGCCAAAGCATGAGCTGGAAATGCAATCCAGATAGATCTATGATACGTGTGGAAAGAAGCTGACTGCTTGGGTAGGAGGCTGAAGTAGCCAAGCACTCAGATACAGCACAGGATCATCATACTAGCTGGACCAAACGCCCATCCTAGAGTTTCTATTCCTATCTAGTTAGGATATTTAATAAAATTCATTCTGCCATTTTAAAGAATTAGTCTTTTATTAGACAAAGTTAGCTTCCTCTCAAATGTACATAGACTTAAGTACTAGAGCAAACCAATTTATAACACATGAAACACCCTCTTATATATCATTCTTTTTACTCATTACCTCAACTAAGTTGCAAGGAGAATGGAAGTAGTGAGGAGTCTAATATATGGGAGGCCAAAGAATAAGTGGTTTGACTTTCATTTTAGATGTCTCCATTACATAAATTGATTCTTCTTAAAATAAAATAGCTGGCCCGGTACGGTGGCCTAGCAGCTAAAAGTCCTTGTCTGAATGCTCTGGGATCCCATATGAGGCGCTGCTTCTAATCCCGGCAGCCCCGCTTCCCATCCAGCTGCCTTCTTGCAGCCTGGGAAAGCAGTCAAGGGTGGCCCAAAGCCTTGGGACCCTGCACCAGCGTGGGAGACCTGGAAGAAGTTCCTGGCTCCTAGCTTCGGATTGGTTCAGCTTCAGCTCCAATCGTGTGGTCACTTGGGGAGTGAATCATCGGAAAGGAGATCCTCTGTCTCTCCTCTGTTTATCTGACATTCCAATAAAAATAAATCAATAAAAAAATCTTTACAAAATGGCTGTTTTTTGCATGTCAATTACTGCTACGTACAGCTGTAAGAAAAATCTACAATCCCCAGAGCAAAAAAAAAAAAAAAAAATTGATACAGAAAATGCATGCCATGATCTTATCACTCACTAGAAACAGTTAATCAGCCTTCCTGAAACAACACATTTCCAAAAGTAGAAAAAATACATACGTTTTAGAGATCTGGATCTCTCCCTAACAATGTTTTTTGGTTTTGTAACTCAAGGTGATGATTTGTATAGAGGTAATATGGTAGTGGATGTTTTTTCAATGACCCCCACGATGTGACAGCTACTGCATGGAATCATCAGAAATAATAAGTCCAGATTTTCAGAAGCTTTTAATGTTTCCAGTAGTTTTCCCAAGAAACCATTAGGGGCATCATTAGAAGAAGAGAGCACAGTGGGCTTGTTGAAACTTAGCTCCACACAGCACAGATGGGAGGCTTGCTGGGTGTGCACCCTGCTGGA